AGTGGTTTCAAGCATTCTTTGCAAGTGTGGATTGACAGCTAATCTAGGACTATCATACTTTTCTATTAATTTTTTCCAGGCTATACTGAGGGTGGTGTTTTGTAGAGATAGTCTGGATACCAGACTCAATGTCGGTCCAACCAATGTAGAACGTAAGTAATTTTATGGTCAAGAGTTTTTCGCACATCTGGCACTTCCATTGTTCTACTACAAGCAAAGCCGACGCGTTCGTGTCAGTAAACAGTTAGGTCGTAAACGCGTCAAACAATGAACATATTGGAAATGCGAAGTAACTAGTAGTAGTCAATAAGAATATTTTCTTTAGGCTTTATGATCGAGTACAATAAGTTTAGTGACAATCTAGCTTGATACAATGAGCAGGAATTTTACCGAAGACTAACTACTATGTAAAGAAGTTCTGCCAGATGTTTTATTGCATTGAAAAAGTCTCGCAATCTCGAACAATTTGTTTTATGCGTGTGCAACTAGTTTATTCAATAATATAAGGAGGTGTAACATGACGCGAGACTAATTTACTGAACTATTGAATTGGCAGTTCGAGCCCTAAAACAAATAAAAAAGCCTTAAGTTTTTCAAATTTAGGATAAGATGTAGAGTTACCAAGTGGTCGTTCCCACGCAATTCTTCTTTGATTATCGAGTTATAAAGTGTCTAGATGGACTGTCATGCAGTTCCATACATTTGTGATGTTTAATAATTGCAGCTCTTCTAGGAAATCGTTGGTATTTCTCATAAATTCTTCAACTTCTGTTAAAACTTCAACTTGTTAAAAGTAAAAAAGTTATTTTACTGTGGAGGTTATTTTATGGTGGAGCTTTATAGCTAATCGAGAATTATCATATTTCTCTGTTAATTTATTGCATTCTAGTGATGTTCTCAAGTAATGTATTTTTTGTACATCACTGAAGTTCTTGCTTTTTATGATCATAGGTTGTAACAGATCGGAGCAACAGTTGGAGCACTTTCCAAGACTTTTGGCTCTCGGAATTTTATAATTCTTCTAGCTCTCGAATGTTTATAAATATTTGATTCTGAGAATTTTCGATTATTCTAAAGGTTTGACAAATCGGTTGGAATTCTCCTACCGTCTGAAGCTTTGCTTTCCTGGAGTTGTCGAAACTTCTAAAGCTTTAGTCTCGAACGTCCGTAAATAATTCTACTCTCTGCTTAGCAACATCTATCCATTATTGCCATCTACCTAAAATGTCGTGTAGATATATAAAGCACACAACGAGTCTCGCTCTCTCAGTAATTCTCTTTCCGTGAAGACGCCATGGCACGGATCACCGTCTGTCTTAGCAGAAACGCCATGAAACAGTCGCTATCTCTCGGCAGAGTCGCCACGGAATGAACACACCTTCAGTTTCGTGTGCATATTCAACAGGCTTGTAGACACTCATTGTAATTAAGCCAATCAGCCAGAACTTACAGTTATATACTAGTCAATCAGTACCGCTAAAACAATGAAGCTATTTGTTCGAAATTGGAGCATTTTATTCGAGGCCTTCGGTTCTCGGAATGTTTAAATTTTCTCACATTGATTTCTCAATTATCCAAAAGCAGAATTCTCGAAATCCCTACAAGGCTACTTAGCCTTGAATTATTACGTTTGCTTTCGCCGAATTCTCAAATAGCCGAAAGCCTAGATTCCGATCGTTTCTGAAGGTTACTTAGCCCCGAACAATTACATTTGCTTTCGCTGAATTCTTAACTAGCCGAAAGCTTGTTTCGTAGAGCTAGTTGCCACGCCGATACTTAAGAAAGCGTGCGAAGAGACTCCACGTAGTTAGAAGGTCACGCAACACACGCTCATTTAATGCAGCTATTACAAGGAACGCTCGTTCACCTCTCCAGTGCACACAGAAAACAATTCATCAAGGGCTGACTACCATTCTAGAAAATAGTCGACTACACAAAGCATGGTACCTGATCCTTCTACTCTCGAAGGTATATCATCTGTCTTTATTGCGAATAACTAGCACAAAATTACTCCTATACTCCCCTTATGAGTATGGTCCAGTCTTCCTGAGACATTCCCATACTCCTCTTATGAGTATGGTCGATTCTCCCTGTTAACTACCACAGAGACATTCCCGTACTCCCCTTATGAGTATGGTCGATTCTCCCTGATAAATACCACAGAGACATTCCCATACTTCCCTTATCAGTATGGTCGATTCATCTTGCTGACCTTTACAACGTCATCAAAGAACCAAATAAGCCATATTCACCTTCAGGGTATATACAAAATCCATCGCTGATCCCCATAACATCATTAACGACAGCGCCACCATTACGAAAAAGCAACCACATAATTTTAATAGAATAATCCCCTCTCTCCCACAAGAACTGTATAAAGCTACAATACTGTAATTGTTAATAAAACAGAATAACCGATGTCTTAAAACGAAGTTACACACTGTACATATTTATAGTCCTTCTACATGTGCCCTTACTTAAGCATTGCTACTGCGAGAGACCAAACTGAAGAGTAAACTAGAGAGTAAACTGAACTATTGAATTTGGCAGTTCGAGCCAGAAACTAAACTTTTCGAACACCATTATAAGTAATACACGATCAATTCTCAAATGCACAAGAAATAACAAGCAGTCAAGGGTGCTGTAATAGCATCTAATACATAAATAAAAAAAGGCCAACAAGGCCTTTCTAAGAGTGCGTCCAACATACGGCCAACTAGGTCTCTGCAGTGAGAAGACGTCATCAAGTTACCATCACGTGACACTACAAGATGAAGTACTAGAGATTTACGACCTCCTACCTCTGTATGTAGTGCATGCTAACGCCACGTGACAATCACCACGGAGATGCAAGATCTCACCGATTCTCATCATCATTTTAGAATCATTGTTGTGTAGTTTGTTAAATAGATGATAATAAACAGCACAAAAAGCAAATGTGTTAAATATTAAATCAATGTGCTATCCCTTCCACTTGGCCGCACTTTTTTCTCCCACCAGGTAACTGGTGGCCATAGTCTAATCCAATCATCTTGGTCCTTCGACCACCTGATGAATGGAATTCTAAATAGTATATACATGTGTATTTTTCATTGCAACAATATTTGATAATTTTGTTAGTGTTTTATTATTATAAATTCAAAAATTATAATATTCAATTGTATTGAATATTAAGTCTAATTTATATTAATAGCTTTTTCCTCTTTCAATAAAAATATTTTTTTATACTATGTAAATATATTAAAATATTAATCTTTTGTATATTTTCTGTTTTCTCGAATATACCTCTTCGAATAATTAGCCCTTTATTCTACTAATTATAAGTAGTTAAAAAGTGCAAATATATATTATTGTTATATAATTTATCAACGAATTAGTCAAAAGAAATATGGGATAAGTAATTATATTTGTTTGAGAATAAGAGACTCCGTTTAGTAAGGCAATAAAATATCTGACAAGTAATGTCATGAAAATTGTATTTAAGACTTCAAAACTTTCCTGCTCATAATTATTTGTATTAGTGTCATAAAACATCTGGAAAACTCTAGCGGAACGTGCTCATACTCCCAGTGCAGTAGAACCTAATGAGTTTACTGCCGCGAGAACCCCAAAGTAGATTCAGAACGAATATCAGATATGCGTGAAGCATTGAGTACAAATATTTCCTGCAACCGAAAACCCGTACGTACTACACATGCAATGACCATACGTGCGCACTCGGCCTTTAAGACAATGCTTGCATTGTTCTTGGCTATGCCACATCTGGTCGATCGTATTGGAAAATTGACCACGCCCAAGCGGATCCTTCTTCTAGCCAAGTCCCAGAGAGGGATGAGGCAACCAAAGAGAGGTGACCAATGGAAAAGGCTCGCCACCTTCCGACACTTTCCCAATTAGCAAATTCGGAACTGAGCCCGGAAGGAAGTGGAAATGAAGGCGTGCATAATCTATTGTGCGACCCAAGATCAACCACTGATTGGTTAATTAATAAAGGAAGAAGGGATCCCAAGTGGAGCGGGATCAGTGAATCATTTAAGAAGGGACTACGTAATGTACCCTCACTTACTCTTTCCAAATACTTCTTACAGTGAAGGATAAGTCACGACCAACTCTCACGGAGGAGGACCGGAGAGATGAGTCGTTTAGCTAGCTGAGTTTTAATAATAAGTTCTTTCCACTATTGTGAATTAGTGTACAGTTGAATTGATCTCATCAAGACTGGATTGCGTGGGACCTGACCACTTGTGGTCTCACGTGGAGACAAGGAAGAACTGAAGAGTTGCAACATTGCAAGGGAACGTAATAACAAGCCATCGAAGAGAGACTGGAAAATCACGATACACTGCAAGTAAGTCCTTACAGCTAGTACTCATTCTTGATTTCTCGGCTTATGTAGAAGACGGACGGATAAAGTCCAACTACGGAAGCTTCCCGGACATACTCTTGAACAAGACCAGCTATAAACGCCACATTGGCTTCTCAATCCCTCCAACTGCAAGTTGTTCCCGCCACAGATGGCGCACAGCTTCGCATAACCTCCATCTCGGCTCTCTTACGACCGATATTTAAAGGCAACTACACACGTATTAAGATAAACACAATAGCATTCCAGTGTTCGATCAGAGCACTACAATCATGATAACCTCTTAGCGATAATATTCAATAGATTATAACCTGCTTCATTCATAGTAAATATATTTCAACACCACAAGATTATCAAGAAATATAAAGTTCGTCTGTAATTCACCCTTTTGTAAATCAATTCAAATAAATAGAAATAATAAAGACATGTGTTAATTATTAATCAGTGCATTCACCCTTTACTTGCCCGGCAACCCCACATAACATCTAGTGGGTTTTATTGTTCTACGTTAATTATTGCACGTTTGGCTGACTAGTCAAATTGTGGGATTATTTTCCGAACAATATTATGTTAACTTGAAACAATATAATCTAGTAAAATCTATTAAAGCAGAAACGTACATAGATATTTAATATTATTAATATGAAACTGACTAAAATTGCAGTATATATTCAATATAATTGTATATTACGACCAAGTAAACAAAAAAAAATATCTACATATTATTTTTCTAACCTTATTAGATTCAGACATGTAAAGTTCCAATTGTAAAATTAAATCAATTTCTTTACATTCATCTGTTACCAAAAAGGCATCACATATTCTTTCAGCGGGTTTTCCACTATGATATTCTAAAGTTGAACTTGTTACAAGTGTTGTAACTAAAAAGTCAGCTACATTATAAGTATGTGGACATAAATAACCTAAACTGAAAGAATTATATAAAATTAAGGTCTGAAACTTATAGAAAATCAATTATTACATATACTATTCTATAATATTTATGATTATTAATAAAATAATATCTAAAACTATTTAAAATGAAATGTGAAATTAGTATTTTATTATTTAAATATATTTTATTATATGAATATATATTTTACTACATGAAACTTTTAACTTCATGTATCATTTCATAAACAAATTCCAATTTAAGTATTAACTAAATATAAAAAGTACTGTATTTATTATGAAATTAGTAACAAAGATGAATAAAAAATGTATTAAATTGATAAATTAATGATATATACTTGCGTTGTCAAATCCAAGGGCTTACTAGTGTTACGGATTACAGCAATTTTACGTGGTAAACAAAGTGGGAGAGGTAAAGACACCAGTGCTTAGGTAGAAACATTTGTGCGTCGAGTCATAAACACAATTATACGAAATCGGGAAACTTCACTACTCAAAATAGTCGAAATTACATTACAATTCCGACTAACAAGGGTCGACGAACTCTCTAAGGCTAGATTCTAGTGACGTCACTCAACATGACAAGAGTGATCCAGAATTCACCGGAATCGCAAGCCTCTGCTAGAATATTTAAGGAGACGTGCTTGACGCTCTCGCCCTCTTACTAGTTCTATCAAGTATTCATCAAGATCGGATCGCCGTCCTACAGATCGAAACCAGCTCAAGGTAAGCCACCCTAGTCTCGGCCACCCAACACTGTACAGAACGACTCCAGCCCAACGGAAGCCAAGCTCACTCGGCCTACCAACGCTACTACACGGTCGACTTCACACACGTAAACTACGCTATTACACACGTTCTTACGGATCACTAATACACGGCTCCCATCAACTAAGTAAGCAGCAATACTAATAAGTGGTATACGGTACGAGGAATACTCCCACCCGTCGAGCAGTGACGTGACACGGATATCCTCCCTCCACTAGACCGCTATAGCGTACATCTCCTTAGCGGCAACGGCATCATCACTGCCCCCCGATCAGCGCGAATCTCCCACTACCACTGCGAGTTCATAACTACGAGTAGGAGAATCAAACACCAAGCTACCAAGAATACACTTACAGGATTCTTGTCGCTCATATTGATTGAAGAAACTCTCATCTATTCATCGTATCATACATTCAATTCGACATCCATAGACCACTGACTAGTTATTGCATTTATTATATTGAATAAAGGGAAAGACACTACATTCAAAGGCAGTGTTGAATTATTGCATTGTCCCTTCCACTTGCCAGTAAGCCTCCATCCACCATCACAGGGAGGCTTTTAGGTCGGATCCCAGACAACTACCTTCTAATTTACAAGATGGAATAGAAATAAAACTTCTTTTATTAAGTACATTGCATCCAGTAAGTAATCATATTACCATATATGTTTATTGATGTTTGTTTAATTTTTAAGTTTTTTTTATGCACCATAAAATTATATTTCAAACCCTTATATGTCATTATAAGAATAAGCTTTATTTTCAACGGCATTTTTTGAATAAAAAATTATGTGAAAAGATGCTAAATAATATTTTTATATTTATAAATTGATATTTGAAGTTTAGTTACAGCTTAAGAGTGCGAGCTAGAAGATTTGAAAATGTCGCGGGCATAAACACGAACGAGAAGACTTTAATTTGTGTCGCGGGCATAGTACGAATTAGATGGTTCAAATGTGTCGCGGGCATAAGCATGAGCTTGTACATATGAGAGCCTGGCCACGAGCTTGAGTCTTGTTCTGAAGGGCACGTGAAGCAAAGAATCGAACACTACTGATGAAAGTTTCCTTGGAAACTGTAGTGTTATCTCTCCGTTTTTCTTCACAAGCGCAAGTGAGATGCTGCTTGAGCCTCGTTATGTTATTCTGAATGGGGCGTGAAGCATAGATTCGAAACTACTAATAACAGTTTTTGTAAATAATCAGTATTATGCTCACACTCCTGTATAGGATGTGTGGCCTTGAGAATGTTTGTATGAAAAAATGAACACGCTGTTTTGCCACTAATTAATCAGAACGATGCTCACAGTCCTGTGTAGGATGTGTGGTCTTGAGAATGTATGTGTGAAAAAATGAACATACCTGAAGACTAGCTTAGTGTAGCAGTGTAGTTTTTCGTTATGCTATCAGCACTCTTGACTGTTTAGATAAATTGATTGTTGTTCCTTTTAGTCATTGTAGATGAAGACTCCTTTAGCTCTTCTGAAGTTGCCGGTCGATTCTAGTACAATAATTTGTTGTGTTGATTGTGACATTTGTTGCAGCTTAGTTTGCTTTTACAGATGGTACAATAGCTAGCTCGTATGTAATTTGGTGACACAGCCTTTGATTCCTGATAAATGCCTTTTGTCTGCGATTGACAACTTCTTGAATTGCTGCAGGCTATCTGCAGATGATTCCTTTTGACAGTGAACACAGGTTGAATTGATTCGTTAGTTTATCCTTATTTTCATTATGCTTAGCCCTTACGATGAAGTAGAACACTTTCACAGGTTATTTCCCTTTTTTTATTGGGTTGAACTGGAATTTGAGGTTACTCCTTAGATTCCTCAAGATTTTTCAATACTGTGTCTTGGGCTAAGAAGAAGTTTGTTAATTCAGTAAACGTTGGGTAGGGATTCAGCACTAACGAGTAATTTTTTCAGCTGATTCCTTATTTGATGTTTCCGTACTCGGATAAATAAGTGAGCTCCTGTACAGTCCCTTGGATTATCAATATTAGATTCCTTTAAACCTTTAATAGTATCACTTATGTTATTTACTATCTCGTTGAGCTCTAGGGTGGTTCTTGTTTTAGGTAGGGAGGTAGTGAGGAATCTTTGCATGTCTAGGTGGACAGCTAGCTGGGGACTGTCACACCGTTTTGCCTTGATTGTTACTATCTTATTGACTTGTCCTGCTGCATTGAGAACATGTTCGTTGGATAATCTTAGTGATACTACAAGTGATGGTAATTCTTGTCGTACTACCTTATATCTCTCTTGATAATAAATAGTATGGAATTATCTGAACTGTTCTTGTGTATGAATACTGGTATAATACACTATTTCGGCTTGTTGACCAATGTTTGGTAAGCCGGTTCTCTCATTGTAGTAATACTAAATTAATACACTAACCTCCACTAATCCGGTTAGAAGGATAAAAATGTATAAAAATTAATTGCACTAATCCAGCTCGTCAACAAAACGTGTAGAATTAACTAAAAAGCCACTGGATATTGTGTGGGAAATTGCGTGAGCAAGTGGAAGGATTAATGCACTGATTTAATAATTAACACATATAATTCTTATTGCTGTTATTCCATTTAATTTCAATTTATTTCCAATTTAAGTATAATTAATTGTGATGAGTTATAATTGAACTTTACGTTTCTCAATAATAATGTGAAGTGGTGATATAATTCTATTGGAGAACCAGAGGGTTGTTCAATTCCTGATCCGCTAGACGATACGTATGAATTAGTAATTTACTCTGAAAAGAAATATACTGTAAAATTATTGTCATTTTAACTACTATTACTTCAGAGGTTATGAGTGTTTGTCATGCTCTTGAATGAACACAACTGTTTTTCTCTGCGGCGTGAACTTGGCACGTGTTGCAGAGGACTCGAATGCTAAATCATGTGAATGCTACCAAACCTAAGATTGAGGTTAGAGGAAATTCGCGTCGTAGCTTCTTGCTTGCAGACCGGCTCTCTTGCCGAACCACCCTCGACCAACTGCGCTTGCGGCTAACATTTTGCCGTGACTCGACCGCAGTGACCGACCATAGTGAAACGATTTAATCATTGTCTGGGATCAGACTAAAAAACCTCCTTAGATGGTAGGTGGAGGCGTTGCTGGCAAGTGAAGGGACAGTGCAATTATTCAAGACTACGTTTAATGTTTATCTTTGTTTTTTTATTAAATATAATAATAATAAATAATTAATTATGAAATATAAATGATATAATAGATTAAATATAAAGTTTCCTTTATTGTTACGTATTATGAATGTATTCTTCCTAAGTTGTATAATAAATAAATGCTATCTTAGCATACATTAAATTGTTGATGTTTGTGTTATACTTTGGTGCCGCGCCTATGATACCTCGGTCTTATCTGTGATATGTTTCAATAGTAGTATACTTGATGCCACGCCTTTGGTACGTCGGTCTTATCTGTAATGTGTTTTAATATTATTATGCTTGATGCCGCGCCTATGATAGATCGGTTTTATCTATGATATCTATCAATAGTGGTATGGTTAATGCCGAGCCTTTATTAAATCTGTCTTGTCTTATGTATGAGTTGCTTCAATATATTTTATGTTTTCACTATTGTTTTGTGGTCACTAATATATTATTAATTATATATTATTAAAGTTTCTGTAGATGTGGTCGAAAATATTTAGTGTGTTTTATAATGATTGTGTAATTGTTAATAGACTGAGGCAAACTGAACTGTTGCGCATGAAGTCCAGCCCTTAAATATTATCGCACTAATTCTCCAAGCTGATGTTTGTTACCATGACGATATTGGTCGTGACGTCATCATGGCATAGCCTGGAACGTTCGTTGCTAGTATTTTGTTTAACAACTGAATTGCGCTTTCATACCTCTCCCACTTTTGACTTTCAATTTTTTGTCCGTAACAATCATCTACCAGTAGAAGCCATGGCACACGAATCTCGATCTGCCCTCAGCAGGACCGCCATGGAATGGTCGGTATTTTCAGCAGAGCCGCCACGGAACGTCAAGCCGTCGGTTCGTGGAGCGTATTCAACAGGCTCATTGTAATATCACTTCGCGCTCACTCAAGTGTAATCGCCGCTCAGTATTTTTAGTATACTGTGAATTCGACACGTGGCCAAATATTCGGCAGCATCGTTAAGAATACACGTGTACATAAGAAAAAGAAATCGGAAGCTTAAATAGTGATTACAGTGAAGCCAATGGAATAGTAATCAAAGGGAACATTAATTAAACAGCAATCAACAGACTTTGTCAGCACTTTAAAAGGTACCTATTTTATATTGATAAATATGCTAGTCACACTTCGCACAAGAAAAAACGGGCAATTTCGCATCCCCTGAAGCAGTCGACAGGTGATGAGCACGTGGTAGTGCATTCCCTAAAACAGTCACCAGGTGATGATCACGTGGTCGTGCATGTCCTGAAATAGTCACCAGGTGATGAGCACGTGGTCGTGCATTCCCTAAAACAGTCACTAGGTGATGAGCACGTGCATTCCCTGAAATAGTCGAAAGGTGATGAGCACGTGGTCGTGCATTCCCTAAAACAGTCGACTCAATTACATAACAAGATCATCCTCAAGGCCAGACTACAATATATCGACTGATCGACAATAAGGACATTTTCATTAGATCCTTCAGAGTTCTAAGGCTTATAATCAATGACACTTGTGTGTGACTAGCTCTTCTACAGCTCCTTAAATAATTAAAGACACAATTGATTACTTAATATATTCCATTAAATATCTTACATCATATCAAGTATAATTATTCATACATCAAGCATACTTGATTCAAACACCATCTTCTCATGCTACCTCACAAGCATGATTGATTGACTACACCAGCTGATATTTACAACATCAGCATTACCTCAACTTCAAGATACTCAGTCATATCCATAAAATCTATAATAATCAAGAATAGAAGAACACACCCTAACTACTTCAATAGTATTATTTCTCTCTGCACAACAGTGCAATATTATTATAATTATTTATAAATAATAAATATTATTTTACTAAATACATAATATTTTTCAGCCTTGTCAATTATTATTTCCTTTAAAGTTAACCTGATGAAAGACTAATCCACTGAACTATTGAATTGGTAGTTCGAGCCATAAACTAAGCCTTTAAAATCGAACAAAAGCTCATATATAAAAAACGAATCGTGATTCGATTATAATCTTCCATTTAACGTAGAAAATAAAATATATTAAATTATTGAATTACAAGAGTAGAGTTTAATATTAAAATATAAGATTGAAGGAAGGAGAATTAAAATAAAATATATAAATATGTTAAAATATCATTATATATTTTATAAATACACGTAAAAATAAAATAGAGAATGAGACCAACAGTTAGATGCTTATAGAATGAGTACAAAATAAGCATAATACGAAGATAATTATTAGATTTATTCCCTAGTTAATTTTTTCTACTTTTTATTATAAAAACGTCGAATACAATTAAAAAAAGTCTGTTATCACAAAATGTTTAAAAAATTTAAGGAGTCTATTAATACTAGTCTATTAATAGTTTTAAACGAACTGAGAATCATATCACATAGTTAAATAAAATTAAAATATTACAATAAATTTTGAATATACTGTATAATTCTCTAAGTAATATTTTCATCAACTAAATTTGTATTTGATATTTTTAAAAAACGAATGGTTTGTAACACTTTAGTTGAAGTATACTAATATATCATGTTACTGTGAATAAGTAACTAAATATGATATACTAACTATTCAAACGATAATTTTAATAATATTCATTACTATGCAGTTTAGTATCCTGTCATTATTTAATTTTATATTTAACTTAATTTTTTATTTTATTGTGATTTCAATTTTAAAGTTTGATAGAATAAAATATGTTCCTTAATAAATGTATAATATTACATTTTTGTTCCCTAAACTTGTTTACTAACTTTTACTAAATTGTATAATTTAATATAAACTGTTAAGTATGGTAAATTTACAAAAAATATTAGAAAACATATATAATATATGAAAACATCTTACCCAGAAAAAAATGTAACAGCTTGTTTACTTGTTCCAGAAAAAGCAATTCTACCATTAGCAACAAGAATTATTTTATCAAATGAACTGAATGTAATTGAACTGGGCTGATGTATTGTACACAGTACTATACGACCATGGGTTGCAAATAATTGTAATTGATTTATTAAAATGTTGGCCGTGTATGCATCTTGGCCTGTTGTGGGTTCATCAAGAAATAAAATCGAAGGATCTGAAAGAAGCTATTAAACAAATATTATTACTAATGTATCTCTGATTATAATGAATGTAAAATAATTTCAGAATATGTTGAATATTAAAATAAAATATAAAAAAATATATTTATGACTTTTTATGAACATATGACATATTATAATATATATATATATATATATATATATAATCTTATCTTGAAAGAAATATACACATCTTGTATAATATTGCTTCCAGATTATTATTTTCCATCATTGCAAATCTTCTGCTCTTTAATAATGCCTTTATAGTTTTTGCAGATTCTATCATAAAAATCAAATTGGTTTCATGATCAATCACTGAATTAGTAAACATACTAACTTGGAAATTCTAACTATTTTCGAAAATAAATAAACAATCATTATTTAAGAAATCTTTTAACATTTAACGTATTTAAAATTTCACAATATCCGTTTTAAATGCTGTAAAATTTTGAAAATTAATTTATACTTAACTTTATAAGATATATTTATGCAATTATATACATAATAATTTATATTAGAACTAAATAATAATGTAAATAATAATATAATATAAATAAATATTGATTGACTTATATTTAGAATATTATAAAATAATATAAAGAATATTTAATATTTTACCTCAGTTGCCAAAGCTAGACGTTTCTTTTCACCACTAGATAATACATTTCTATTATTAGCTGAACCAATTGTAGTATTTGAACAAGATAATAGACCAACGTTAAAAAGTAATGTTTTAATTCGTAAATTCATTTCATTTATTTTAAGGGAATAATTTAATTTCATTCTGGCCTGCAAAATTAAATTTATACGATTTATTACAAATTATAATATTTTAAATAAAGTAGTACAAACAAATATTTAAAAAAAAGTAGACATTACATTAGATAGAGAGTAATTATCTTATACAGAATTTTATAATTATAACATTAATTATAATAAATTATGATTTTGTAAAAGAGCTTCGTTATAATTTTTACTGTTTCTATAATACAAGACAGTGTATAAATACTTAATTAAAAACACAAATCAGAATGAGTATTATGTATAATACTTACCAATATCTACCACATAATTAAATATATTAAAGATATTTGATTATGAACAATAAAATTAATTTCTTTGTGCACCTAATAATATTAACAATAATCCAACAAATCAATCTAGTCGATTTTAAAGGGTTAGCTTATGGCTCGAACTGCCAATTCAATAGTTCAGTGGATTAGTCTCTCGGCAGGATAATTTTAAAGGAAATCAATAACGGACAAGGCTGAAAAATATAATATATTTATTTTAAAACAAGGTTTAATGAGTGTAAACAATTATAATAATATTGCACTGTTGTGTAGAAATAAATAATTCTGTTGGATTATTCAAAAGATGTGTTCTTGTAATTCTTATGCTATGAAAGCGTCTATGGATATTACTGTGTTGCTTTGAGGTTATGCTGATGTTGTCAATGTCAGCTGATGTCGTCAGTCAATCATGCTTGTGAGGCAGCATGAGAAGATGGTAGTTGAATCTAGTATGCTTGATTGATGAATAGCTATACTTGATGAGTTGTTAGATCTTAAATGGAATTTATTATGTAATCAATTATGTCTTTAATTATGTAAAAGGGACAGCAGTAGAATCTAGTCACAGGAAAAACAATTAGAAGTAGTATTTCTAATTCGTGGAGGATTTGATAATCCGTATCTGTAGAGTCTATTAGTCGATCTGTGTTGGTCATGTGTAACCAATGTGTGTGAACCACAGTGACTCTTGCGTCAGCTGTTCAGGGCCTGCACGGCTCCGAAGTGTTCTTCGGACGAGCGCTAGTGTGCCCTGTTTGTGCTAGCGGGCCTGTACGATGTCAAGTGGTTAGTTCGAGAGAGCGTAAGTGTGCCCGATCGACAATAGCGAGAGATGTGACTTGTTTATTTATTAATATAAATATGTACCTGGTGAACTGCAGGTTGGATGGATTCGATGCTGTGTATGTAATGTTTCCCTTGATTACAATTCCATTGGCTTCACTGTAATCACTTATTAAAGAATTGCCGATTATCTTTTCTATGCACGCGGGTACTCTTTACTAGGGTTGCCGAAAATGTGGCCACGCGGCGTCTTTACAGTATACTATGCACTGACCGGCAGTTACGCTTAATTGAGAGCGGAGTGAATTTACGAATGAGCGTCGCCTCATGGCGCGTTGCGCTTAAATGTGCATGCGGCGTCTTCAGCGCCGGCAACAGTGTCGATGCGCGTCCCTTCCAGAAATTTTCCTTTGGCGTGAGAAAACGAAGCTTCTAGAAGTTTCGAAGGCGTCCCTTTTTTTGTGAGTGCTGGCAGTAAATAATATTTCAAATCGTAAACTTGCTCGGACTTGCCGAGTTTTGTTTGTAAACATTTTCTCGAGTGCCCGCCTCGGTCCGCACGTGCGGATCAGCCTAGGTGCACGTGGTGGCCAGCCTTGCTGCACGTGCGGTCAGTCTAGGCTCACATGCGGTACGCCGGGCTGCGTAAATGACCTTTCTTTTGTTTGAAATTTATGGGACTGCTTCAATCCCGAACACAATCTATTAAAGCTATTAAAATTTCAAAGATGGAGCTATCTCTAGATAGACAGTAGTTGTAGATCGATTTTTCAATAACATTAATTATGCATGCGCATAATTGATTAAAAAATTAATTAAAAAAATAAACCTCTTGATTATGTAATAAAGAAAAACATATCTCGAATATTTCAATTATCTCTTTATAGAGACATTTATCATAAATCGACTAATTTAGAAGTTTATTATATAGTCGATATACTATTATATTAAGATTATATTAAGATATAAGTCTAGTTTCAGGATGTCTATTATCCAGACGTATTTGATTAAAAATAGAATTATAAATCAGCCATCAAATAAATTAATTTTCATTAGGTAATTGAACTATAACTCCCTTTGTGAACCATCAAATATGATTAACAACATTAATAATAAGTAGAAAATTTGACCATTACTATTGTACAAAATGCAACTCGTCGTTTCGACTTGTTTTATCAAGGCCGGCTCGACGGATACAATTTGATGCCGTTGACAATTCAGAGACCACGGGTCTTGTGTGGTAGCGATGAAAGGTCACAAGTGGAGGGGATATTATATAATAATACAATACAAATGTGGCTGAAGTATTTAGTTTTTATTCTGTTATTTAAGATAAAATAAGGTTGACTATTAGTACTATTATTAATTGTAGACCAAATCTTGGTTTGAATTAATGTGTTTGCGGAGGCAAACATATAGTAATCTATGCAGCTTGATTGTTGAATACGAATGTCGAATGGCGCGAAGTTTCGTTCGTCGACATTAGCGCTGTTTGAATGAGCATGTGTGTGGTTGAGGTTATGAATGCAGCGTTATGACTGAAAGATACCGCAGAGTGGCGCGAAACAGGATTTTCCGACACTCGCGCTGTGTGTTGCTTAATTTCATAAGCTTGCGAATTTGAACTAAGGTGAGGGTTGCTCAAAAGGGGACACCCCTTTGTGGGCGCGAACTTGACGACGCGTACTGGAATTTATTCCGCACTGTTGTTTTAAGAGGAGCTTCTTCGTCATTAGTGCTTGTCGATGTAATACTCTGAATCTCAATATATATTTAATTATTGAAGTAAAAATACTACTTACGAAGACTAATCGTTGACTCGTCTCCGGACTCTGATATGCGGATTATCGTCGCTCCCATTGAACATGTAACGACGGTTTCTTGAACTGCGTTAATGGACATACGATGTATGTCGTCGTTCCTCCAAGACTTGTAACTACTGTTCCAGTAACAGTGTTAATGGACTTTCACTAAACTTAACTGAGTATGAAATATATCAAGGGTATATACTATATTGAGAGAGTATTACTAAAAGAGAAATATCAAGAGTATAATAAGAAGGAAATATCAAGAGTCAACTACTAAGAAAGAGATATCAAGAGAGACACTTCAAGACAGTAATATCAAGAGAATACTACTAAGAGAAAAACTATCAAGAGTGATGAGTATTGAAAATTGGGCCCCTTAAATACATTTTCTGACTATGAATTTGACTTGAAACCCTTCCCTTATTTTTCGTCCAATCAGAGACTCCTCCCTTATAGTACGAGGGCAGCGCCTCTTGTGGCTTCGGAGTTAATTAAGGGCCTAGTCGTGTCTTGATCTTCATGACAAGAAGACCTCTCGTTGCTGTTGCCACATGCGACAGCATGTAGGCAAGGGAAAGGGGGGGCATCGCTGACACATCTGGTGATAGCATTACAACTTGTAGAAAGCGGAAAAGGAAAGGAAGGTCCGCTTGCAAAAATGCTTGCAGTAGTTACCGAGCGGAACGAAAATGCAGATGTGAAACTATGTGTTTTCTCGTGTTTATGGTATTGTTTTTTTAGATATTTTATGACACTAGTGCTTGATAATTTTGAGCAAGCAAATTTTGAAATCTAAATATTATTTTTACGATGTTACTTGCCAAATGTTTTATTGTACTGACAAAAAAAAAGAAAGGATCTCGCATTCTCGAACAACTATTTATGATTTATAAGTATATCTGAATTTTTATTTTACTTTACCAGTTTTTTTATGAATAAAAAAATAATATTTTAAAACTGATGCAATAATTAATAGAAAAATTGATTAATTTTTTTCAACAGATATCACCAAGATGTACAGGCAGATAAGG